GTCTAGCAAATCGAATTGACGGCACAGACGGAGTGGAGCACTCCTCCAAAGACTAACTTACGAAGGATTAATAATCTAAATAGTCCAGCATGAAAAAGAAGTTGAGGTTTTAATTAAAGCCTTTACAACAGGGAAAAGTGCAAGCCCAACGGCTTCCGAGGAGAAGTTGACCAGCTCCGAGGCGGGGGCAGCGCCGATTCTCCACGCCCGGCTCTGGGAGGACGAGGCGCCCCCCATCACTCGAGGAAGCCGGCCTTACTGGGACCCGTGATTGCGGCGCCACAGGGAGTGATGCCGGCAGCGGTGTCCTCACCAGCAAGGATGCGTGGCCACACACAGTGGGCCCGTATGCGCCCCTCCAATGTGGGCTGTGACAGGACACCGTCAGTGTGGGCTTCCACACCGAGACGAACAGCGTCCAAGAGACAGTGTGCAACGAAGACTTCAGAACCAGAAATCCACGAGAGGTGGTCCCGCTGAAGACAGAATGCGCGACTAAGGGGTGCACTTTATCTACAAGAAAACTGAACCCGGAAGGTGGGACGGGATACGTGAGTCCAGCCTGAGGAAAGGGGAAACCCAGAGAGCACGCACGGAATGATGCCTCTGGTGACGGCAACGGAGGTGCACACACCGGTGGACCGAAACCAGAGGAGACAGGCGCTAATGCTTGATCCGAGGGGACGAAGCCTCTCGGCAGCCTGAGGACACGAGAGCTCTCCCCTGTCCTGACAGAGGTGACCGGGCCCCACAGAGGACGTTACGCCCGGCGGTAAAGTCAGCACCCAGGCCTTGGAAGTCAGCCCAGCCTAGCCGCTGGGTGCCTGCACGGGGAGGAAGCCCTGGAACTCTCGCTGTGTGCAGCCCGCTGCTAGAGAGGAGACTCCAGGCGATCCACAGGCAACGATGCAAGTGAATCAGGGAGCTCAACGAGTTGCCAAATATAAAGCAACATAAAAATCACTTGCACAGATTAAGTAATACAATAAGATGCTGTTAAGAGTCAAAAAACACACAGAACTGTGTGCAATATCTTTTGTAATAACCTTTAATGAAAAAGAATATGAAAATGATTATATGTATGTGTATATACATGCATGACTGGGACTTTGTGCTATGCACCAGAAATGGACACATTGTAACTGTACTGCAATAAAATAATAAAATAGAAGAGTCAGAAACAGCAGGTCTCTGGGGATACGTGTGCTGAGTAACGCACAAGACCTCTCTAACAGGAGCTTCGTTGGTTGACCTTGGCTGAAGACACGACGGACCTAAATAAGTCAGGGGTCCAAGGTTGTCATGAACGGGAGGACTCAAAAGTGATGAAGAGTCCCTGCACATCGTTCTAAAGATTAAAAAAATGTGTTTCCTGTCTCTGTCCAGACTGAGTGTTTCAAGTTGATTCACAAAATTAATGTACAAGATGGGGGAGGGTGCAGCTCAGGGGTAGAGCACGTGCTTAGCAGGCACGAGGTCCTGGGTTCGATCCCCAGCACCTCTGTTAAATAAAAAATAATAATAAGTAAATAGATAAGTTGGCCTAATCACCCCTCCTGATGGAGAGGCTCCCTCCCCGGGTACCAGCACGGCAGAAAACAGATGCTGCACGTCGGGCGGGTGAAACACTGCAGGTGAACGCGCAGAACCACCAAGGACAACAGACGGTTTTGTGTCAAGAGCACAAAACACGAGGGCAAGTTTGGGGTATCAGATGCATTAAAGTTTAAAATTCTGTTCAGCAAAAGAGACCATCCATAAAGCAAGAAATACAAGTCTGGTCTGAGACGATATATCTGCAACCCATATCACCAATAAAGCGTCACTACCCAGATACACAAGCAATTCCTGAAAATCAATGAGAAAGAAGCAAGCGATCTGCAGAAAACTGAGCCCGTGACAGGAAACTATAAATACAGAGAAAACAATGTGCCCTGAGCGAACGGATGCTCAACTCCACCGCTAACACCAAGGAACACAAATTAAGACAACGAGATGCCATTTCTCAGCCTTCAGAGTGTAAAAAATTAATAAGCCTGACACCGCTGAGTGCTGCCATGAATCTGGGAGAGGAAGCCGCAGCCGACGCTGGCGGGAGCCTGAACTGGTGCAGACGCTCCGGACGGCGGTTTGTCGGTGCTTAATGATGACGATGATGGTTGACACCCAGCACTGACTACACACCAGGCTCTTACAGCCCTGCGCACGATCGAGCCCCTGGAAGGCTGGGCTGCTCCCCCTGCCAGCCCCACACTCCCCCGTGAGCGGAGAGCTCCGCAGGCCGGCACCTCGGGCGCCCGCGAGGCCCGGCGGGGCGGCCGCTCGTCAGGGCGGGAGGGGGCGATCGGGGATTTCCCTGGTGGGGGGAGACCCACGGGGCTTTGTCCCCGCCACGGGACGTTCTGCCGCGGCGAGAAAGACGCCAGCCTTCCCTTGCTGGGTGTGCTTCAGCTGACGTGGATACACTTCAAAAACCTGATGTGGAGTGAAAAAAAAGCTGCAAGAGTTTTCACACTGTTCTACCATTTACGAAAACTTTGAAACGCCTCAACTCTTGTTTGCGGTGTGTGCACGTGATGAAAAACACAAACACAGAGATGGGAATGGCACACCAACCCTCGCCAAGCAGCCCGGTCCTGCTCCACCTCACGCCTCCGGGAGAGCTGCCTGTCTCAGTCTGCCTGTCAGTCCGTCTGTCTGTCGGCAGGAGCCGAGGCTCTCCAGGAGGGGAATGCGCTCGGGGCCGCAGGAGCCAGGTCTGACGGAGGAGCTGGAACCTGCAGGAAGGTGCTTTCAGTGCTCCTGGGACACTCGACATTGGAAATCTACTCATGTGACTTGTTACAATTCACGAAAGCGGAATAAACATGGGCTCAACTTACTGCAGTCGAAGAAGCATTGGTTAAGATCCGCCCCCGCTCGGGCCAGAACTCTTCGCACGGTGGGAGCGGAGGGGATCGCGTGCTCAGTGAGGCATTGGAGGCTCCCAGGAAGTCTGGGACGCGATGAGGCTGTCAGCCTCACACTTCCGTTCCGCTTCCAGGCCCCACCGAGGCAGCACGATTTCTGAGAGCGATGAGGACGAGAAAGACAGGCAAACATTGTCACTTGCCAACAGTAGAGTAAAGTATAGCAAATCCATGGGAAGAAACAATAAAAAACTAGTAAGACAGTTTCATAAGACAGCCAGAGGCAAGACCCACATCTAAAAGCCAATAGCTTTTCTATGTACACCAGGAGTAACTTTAGAAGAAGCCGTCCGAAAAGACACAAATGAATTTATTTACAAAACAGAAACAGTCTTATGGCTGCCAGCAGAGAAGGGGGGTGGGAAGGGATAAATTGGGAGGTTGAGATTTGCAGATACTGACTACTATATATAAAACAGGCAAACAACAAGGTCCTACTGTACAGCACAGGGCGCTACACTCAGTACCTTGCAGGAACCTATACTGAAAAAGAATATGAAACGGAATGTGTGTATGCTGAGCACCACATTGTAAACTGACTAGACCTCAATAAAAAAAATCCGTCCCCATTTGCAATCATCAGAAAAAGTGTAAATCTCCTGGGGAAAAAGAACCCACAGAAACACAGACAAACCTATGGGAGGAGGAGGTAAACTGTTGGCAGCCACAGAAGAAAGTGGGCGAGTGGGGAGAGAGATCCTGTCCCGAAATGAGAAAACAGAGGCTGTCAAGACGCCGGTGGTGCCCGGAGCGATCTGCTCACGAATCCCGGTCACGCTGCAGTCGCACCTCCCGCGGGACGCCACGCGCTGACGGAAATCCACCTGGGCGAGAAGGCACGTGGGCGCAGCGAGCCCAGCTTCCGAGAACCAGAAGGAGCCAGGGGAACGGGACTCACAGCTCAGGCACACGTCAGTCCGGGAACAGACCCGCGCGCCTACAGACACGAGGAGCAACGGGCACCGCGCTTGGGGGAGGGCGGGGGGCCGCCGGCGCGCCTGGAACAGGTTGCCCGGGGGGACAAAGTAAAGGTAGGTTTCTAAGCCGTAAACACAGGTAAAAAGAGACACAAAGACACAAACACACAAGATAAACAGTGTTTGGTTTTACCTGTCACCAGGGACAAGCCAGCGAAAGCAGCGATGAGAAACTTTTTCGCCTGCAACACTGGACGAAAGGTGGATCGACACTTCCCCACGGTGCAAAGGGGTAGGCTAAGCCGGCCCCTCCCGCGCCGCCGGTGCAGGATACTTCTGCAGCCTTTTCGGGACACAGTTTGGGAATATCCGCCCGGAACTTCCACGTGTGCCCCTCGACGCAGCCCGCCCGCCGAGAGCGCTGCTCCAAGGGTGGTGCGCACAGGACAGTGACGAGCCCTGGGCACAGATGCGCGTGGTGACAGAACAAAACGATGAGAAAGGGAAGGAAAAGGGGGAGGGGGTGGAGCGGGTGCTTAGCATGCACGAGGTCCTGGGTTCCATCCCCAGCACCTCCATCAAATAGATAACAATGATGAACAACTAAATAAACCTAATTACCTCCCCCACCAAGGGAAAAAAACAGGAAGAGAAGGAAAGAGAAGCAGCTTAGCTCTTGTCAGCAGAGGAGAGGCTGTGACCCGGACGTGTGGTGCACAGGACCGCGAATGCTGCAGCCATCAGAAAATAAACAAAAAAAAATAAGGTGGAGCTGTGTGTGCCAACTCGAAAGCTCCCAAGACACTGTGCTACTTATGAAAAGGGAGGCGCAGACGACCCGTGGACATGCAGGAGGCCACCCCGTCCTGGGTGTGCCCCCGTGTGCGTCCACGGGTAGGTGCGGTCTGGGCACCTCCCCACTGGGGCCCCGGGCAGGAGAGGGGCCGAAGGAAGGGAGCCAGCTTTGTACTCCGGATCTGGCCACGCGCACGAAGGGTTCCCAGACATCCGCTCCTGTGTGACTCATGTAATTCAAACAAATGACCATGACCAGAACAAAGCATTAGGCCAGGCTGCTGGGGCGCAGGTCTATAGCACAGAAGGTAGGACGCGCGGGGAGGAGGGTGGGGCTGAGGTGTCAGGAGGCAGACAGACTGGACTCCGGGGTGGGGAGGCATCCCGGAAAGAGGAGAGATGAGGGCCCAGGATGACCCCAGGGCTTGAGCGGAGGGAGACAGCCGCCAGGTGAACAGGGGCGTCGCGGGGAGCGTGGGTGAAATCCCGAGGGTGGATGGAGAAGATCTGGGAGACCTGGACCTGGAGGAGGGACGGGACCACAGGGAGGAGCCCTGAGACTCAGCCGGAACCTTGAAGTCCTGTCTGTGGAGGGCGGCAGAAGGGGGGCTTTGGGGAGGGGCTGGGGGTTGGAAGGGGTCATGTTGGCGGGAAGGGGCGGGCTGGGCACAGCAGACTGGGCTGGGTTCTGCGCCTCCCTTTGTCTTCTTAAGGATGGGCGTCAGGAGAGCACATCTGAGCCCCGGCGCGGCGGGCGGGGAGGCCAGGGCGTAGGAGCAGGGCCTGTCCTCTGTTCCTACAGGACTCGGAGGCAGGAAGTCGAGGCTGGGGCTTGGACGTGTGACACCAGCCCCTCCATCCAGACGGCAGGGGGAGGGGAGCAGCCAGGACAGGAACGGAGGACACTTGGCATCAGCCCATTAAACAGGTGGGGTGGCTCACCAGCAGGGCGTGGGGCCCACGGGCTCAGGTTGACGTGAATCTGGAGGTCCCCCATCCTGGCTGAAAATGTTCGTGCCCCCTGGAGAGATGTCGGTCCACGCTTGGCAGGCTTGGCGTGGTGCTCGCCTGGACGCCTCCTGGGCTGTGGCACTGAAATCAGGGCCCCTGGGACCCGATCTAGACAGTGACAGGTGAGTCACTCCAGGGAGAAGCCCCCAGGGTGGAGGTGCAGGAACCACCCTCTCTTCCTGGGCGTGGGCCCCCAGAGCCCTGTGCTGAGAGAGCAGCCTCACAAGATGAGGGACCCAGCAGCCTGGCCCCCCGAGAGCCCGGGTGAACAGACCCCCGCCCACCCACGTGTGGGGTTGGAACCCAACTGTGGTTGTTTTCAGCCAATGGGGTCTGGGCTGTCTGTCACATGGGCACCAGCTGCCCACCCTGCCTGACGTGACTGCAGGAGGCCCTGAGGGAGGGGAGCAGGGTGGGGGCAGCTGGGCGGGTCTCCCTGTGGACGTGAGTGTGAGGGGAGCTGCCGAGGGCGGTTGAGGAAGGGATCTGAGGTCCCACGAGACCCCACCTTCTCAGCCCCGTGACGTTTCACGACCTGGAATAAAAATCCCAGAGCGAGATGGGAAAAGTCAAATGTGGTCTTTTTGGAAGGAACATAGCTTTCAGGTTAAAGATAAACAAGCTCTTTCTCCAGCCCCAAGGCCCCAGCTCACGTTCCACGAGGAAGAGTGACCACCCACGTGGCATCAGTCGGGACCGACTCCACGGAAAGGGGACGGGGACCTTTCCTAATCAAGGCCTGTCGTTAAGTACGCGGTGGTTCCGTCTAGAAGATGCACAGCGTCGCCCAGCCCCCATCCCTCACCGGGAAGAGTAATCAGAATGCAAGGTCATCTCCATATAATGCATTATGACTTTAATATCAGTAAACGCCCCTTAAATATTAGATGCAGAGAGGAAATATTAGTGAAATTATCGCAGACTAATATGATCAGTTTCCTCTAGGATAAAAGGTGATAAATGTATTTTAATAAACTCAAGAGAATTATATGTGTCATATTCGTGGTTCCTGTCAATTTTATTTAGAGTGAAATGCCATTGTGATAATTAGTTGGGTTTTACTGTGTTCGTTAAAAGCTTTTCTAATGACCGCTTGGAGGAACAAGTAAAATTAATTTCTTCCTTGAACATCGGAGAAATTCACCAAACAAACTAAAAGCGAACTCCAGGGCCTGAGCGAGACCGGGTCGGGGCCGGTGGGTCTGCGTGCCCTGCCTTGGGGACGGCGCTCGCCTGTCTGTCCCCGGCATTTAGAGTGTCCCAGAATGCGGGACGCAGGTCCCAGGGGGAGGTGCTGATTGTCCCTCTCAGGTGCCACTGAGTCGAGATTTAAAGGCCGCCTCCTCCAGGCAGCATTCCTTGACTCTTCCTGTCTCAGGCCCTCTCCTGCCTGGCCTGCACTCCCAGACCACAGCTCCTTCATCTCCGGAGGCCAAAGCCAGGCTCTTCCTTACCTGTGGCCTCTAGGGGTCCAGCATGGGGACAGCACTCAGGAGGGCTCAGGGGCCAGAACCTGCGAGTCTGCCCAGCTCAGTGTCCCAGCTACCACCTTCCATCCAGCTGGGAGCATGCGTGGCCTCCAGGCTGCAGGTGTGACCGGAAGAGCTGCCGGGGAGCCTTGTGGTGGGACCTCGGGCCGTGCCGGGGAGTGCGGCTCAGGTGGATGAGAAGAAAGGCGGGGCGGCTTGGGACGTTAGGTCACCTGGCTGAGGCTGCTCAGCGGAGAGAGAAGAGATAAGACCAGATGCCATCCAGCTGGTGCAAAACGCCATGATCCTCTCCTCCCCCTGTGCCAGCTGGAGCAGGCACCCCGAACTGGGGCCTGGGCACCCACAGGTGTCAGGAGGGCCTGAGAACCTCGTCGGGGGGCACCCCCACATCGCATACCCACACACACACCACACACACGCACACACGTGCACACGCGGGCACACTCACAGACCCTCCCACCTGCCAGGTTGAGATTTCACGGTCCTGGTCCTCCTGGATGTCTCTGTGGTCCCCTCGGGGTGATGGGAGGATGTGCGGGGACCAGGCCTCAGCTGACGCCGGCCCAGTCTCTGCCTCTCTGGAGCCTCTCAGGTGAGCAGAGACAGAAAGGGGCTTCTTTCTCTGATAACCACCCAAATCTGGTAGCCACCGCCAGCTCGCATGCCCTGGGTGCCAGCCTGACCCAGGGCCCTGGCTCTGAGCCACTCAGGATTGGGCACTGCACCCCCGCAGAATTCAGGGGACATTTAAGCCTGTGCCTCAGCTTCCCGCAGGACCCCCTCCCAGCCCCGCCTGCAGCTCCCCTTTGCCCCCACCCTTGGGTGGGCTGTCAGGCCAGGGCTCACCTGGCCCGCCGTGCGGCAGTGCTCCCGCCCTTGCTTGGCTGACCATTTTCCTGGGCATTTCCGGGGGGCCTGCACTCTCTCCCACTCCCTGACACGTGAGGCCTCCCAGCTACAATGGCCTGAAGGTTTGTGTCCCCCCGGAATTCATATTTTGGAGCCTAACTCCCAAGGTGGTGGTATTGGAGGCGGGGCCTTGGGTGATTAGGTCATGAGGGTGGAGCCCCCATGACTGGGATCATTGCCCTGATCGAGCGGCACCACGGAGCTCACTCTCCCCTCCCATCCCGTGAGGATACTGGGAGGGGCGGCCGTGCAGGGCCAGGAAGCTGGTCCTCTCCACACGCTGATCTGCTGGTGCCTGGATCGCTGACGTCCAGCCTCCGGAGCACGGAGGAACCTGGGTGCTTAGAAGGCGAGCTCTTATCTGAACGGGGCGTCACTGTGACGGTGGGGTGTCTGTTGAGGGATGGCCCCGCCGGCCAGCACGCGGTGGGGACAGGGGTGGTCACCCTGAGCAGATGGAGGTGCTCGTCACAGCAGCGGCAGGGCGGGACCCACTGCGTCCCCCAGAGCCCGCCGTGGGAGCGTGTCTGATTAGGGGAACTCTGAGCTGGAGGGCAGGGAGATATTTTTGCATTAGAAGTGTCTGCCGCCAGTGACGCCCGCAGACGGGTAATTTAGCTGGTAATCACGCCGGCGCGCTGTTTACTCATCATTAGAAGCAGCACCTCGTCGCTGGGTGGAACGAGGGAGAGACACACTTAATTAAGCTGGGTGAGCAGCGTGTGCGCGACCAGAACCGGGCCCAGGGACCAGGGAGGGCGGCGGCAAGCCTCCACGCGAGCGAATCAATCAGGGCACCCTAATTGGAAAGCAGTAATAAAAAGTAATTGAGTTTAATACATAATTTAGATCGTTACCCGCTAAGCTAAGGCCTCCTGCCTAGGTGTGGAGAGAAAACTGTTTATCTGGGAGACGGGCAGGATCGCATCTGTTTGCTAACAGAACGCTCCCCAGTCGACCTCAGTACGCGCCGTCTGCTCAGCCAGGCTCTGCGCTGCTGCACAGGCTGCAAGCCCGCACGTTAATTTTTGACGCGACACGCCTGGCGCTTCTCCCCTCCCTGGGAGTGGCTGCTTGTCGCGTGGGGCTCCTTGTCGCCGTCACCGAGGTCCGCATGAGGGGCATTCAATTGGCTGCCTCTGGTATCGTCGCAGGAGGCCGCTGGCCCCCAGCTCCTTCCTCATTTTTATTTGATAAAAGAAGAGGCGTTGAAGAGAGGGCCTTTTCCTCCCGAAAACGGTCCGGCCGCCACAAATTCTTCCGTTAAATACCAGGAAGGAACTTCCTGACCACCCCTTCCTGGGGCTGAGCTGTCAGCGACTCACGCCGTCCTTAGATTTTCTCAGCTGTCCTGGGAAGTCGGGGTGTGCCCACTCACCCCATGCCCACAAGAGCAGGCAGAGAGGCCCGGGGCCAGGGCTGGCCGTGGGCGGGGCTGCTGACCTCGCAGCCCTCGGAGCAGGGAGGGGAGGAGCTTGGATCCCAGCTCCCGGGTGCGGGACCTCGGGCCGACTGGGTAATGGCAAGCCTGGGCCTCAGTCTCCAAATCTGCCAAGTGGGGATGGGCGTGCCAGGTGGTGTTGGGTCAGGGGCGTGTGTGAACAGGGCCGACAGTTGCTCCTGGCCCCCTCCCCAGTCAAGCTTCCCTGCCCCGCCCCCAGCTATACAGGAGGCACAGGAGGAACTTGCTAAGATGCGGGAGACCCACCCCCACTGCCACACACAGAGCTGGGGCCCTAGGTGGGGTCCCTGACTCCCTGACCTGTGTCCCATCTACAAAGCGGGGTGACGATAATGCCTTCCCAGGGGCTGGGGCTGCTGTCAGCACCCCCGTGCCATCACCGTAAGTCTTGCTGATGGGCTGTGGGGCTCTCCTTGGGCTCACGGAGGGGCAGCTGTCCCAGGGACCCCAGGCCCTCATCCTGGGAGGCTGGACCTGGTCACTGACCCCTCATAGCTCCGTTGGCTGCTGGAGGACAGGAGGCCAGGCGCACACAGCCTGTCCCTGTCCCTTGGGCCCCGTCGGGTCTCCAGTGCCTCCAGCCTGACCCTCAGCGTTTCCATAGCAACACCTGGCAGAGGTGAGGCACCACTGCACCCTCACTTCCCACTTTCCTGGGGAGTAGTGTCACCGAGACCAGAGGGTCCCCACTCTGAAGGAGCAGGGGGCTTGGGGGCCACCCGGGGTCCCTGGGAGACGGGAGCCATGGGGCCCAGGGACGTTCCACCAGCTGCACAACCAGCTGTGAGATGCAGGCTTCGTGCAGTCGTACAGATAACCCGGGGGGAGCGCAGCTGTCTCACCTCGGTGGTACCTCGCCTCTCCCTTCCTGTCTCCCCTGCGGTGGGGCAGCGTCCAGGGACTGGGGAAAGGTCTCAGCCCCTGGCGGCGTGACGGGGTGAGGCACCCCCAGCCCTAACGGGCAGGACAGTAGGGAGAAGGCGCCCTTCCACCCTCTCAGAGACCTAGTGCTGCAGAAGCTTCTGGAATAGTCACCTCTTGCCCCACGGTGCCTTGTGCCCTGGGAAACCCAGGCGTGCGTGCATGCCTTCCGCAAACTCCCCGACACCCAGTCTCCTGACACAACCAGGTGTGGCTCTGCACACATGGACGAGCCAGGGTCCATCCTAGAGGAGCACCCCCACCCCAGGCTTCAGCAGGGAAGACCAGTAAGATCGGGCCTTGAGGGTCCAGGTGGGGAACCTCCAGTGCGTCCCCAGCTGACTGGCCTGAAGGTCTTGGAGGAAAGGTCCCTCTTCATGTCTTGTCCATCTCTGGGTCCCGCTAGGTGCCAAGCGCAGGCTCAGGCCCATGGAGACACAGGGTGGGCAGGCCCCCAGCCGCGGGGGAAGCGGGGCCCCTGGGCCCTTCCAGCAGGACAGGGAGCCGTTGAAAGCTCATTACCTTTCATTCACTTCCGCATAAGCGGCCAGGTGGGCTGGCGGCCCCACGTGGAGTCTCACGAGGTCACAGCCCGTGCCGCGGGGCCGTGGCCACCGCTCCGGAACAAAAGGAAGGGCTTGTTTACAAACCGCCCGTTGAAATTTAAGTTGCCAACATTGGCATCAGGCCTCGCCTGCCAGGCCACCCGGATTGGAGGGTGATTTATGAAGATTGCTTTACCTGCGGCCGCGCTGGTCTGTGTCTGTGAGTAATTCATACCAGGCTCGTTTCGGATGCAGTCAAAAACCCCCGTATTTCACTATGACAATGTAATCACAGAGCCACATTAAAAAGTCATTATTGTTTAGAATCCAGCTTGGTTTGAAAAACACTTACTATAAGATTCAACAGCCTTTGTAAATTACCGGAAGGTTTACTCAAGAATGCTGGGAGCCGTGATTTAGACGGGGAACTTACCACTTTATTGATTCTGTGGGATTTTGTCGGTTCCTGCATTTATGGGGAATGATTAGTGAGTAATCAGAGTAATAAACCCCTCCCTGTGGGTTCATAAATAATGATGAATTGAATTTGCGTCTCAAATTTCCCAGGCAAGCCGCTCCTGCTCCAAGGAGTCTTGAGACTCAACTTTGGGGTCGTTTCCCTGGGCGTATGGAAATCAGTCATCTCGAAGGCAGAGGAGGGTTTTTTCCTTGCCTTATGTTTCTTCCCGGGGCCACCCTGGGAGGGACAGGAC